GTGAACTACAACTCCCAAACTCAACATCAATGCCCACCAAACCCTTCTTGTGTTTTCTGTTGGTCATGGGAGAACTGTGTCCCAATTTTGATTCGATTCCATCATTGATTGAGTTCAGAATGCTCTTTGATTGTAGGTGAACTATAAATCCCAGCAACTACAACTCCCAAATGACAAAATCATTTATTTTATTGAGTGAAGGACATAGATTGGGTTGTTAGGTATCTTGTGTCCAAATTTGGTGTCAATTTACCCAGTGGTTTTTGAGTTCTGTTAATCCCACAAACTAACATTACATTTTTATTTATATAGACTAGCCGTCCCTTGCCACGCGTTGCTGTGGCCCAATCTGTATATATGCGCTTTGTGTGTGTATATTTGTGTGTGTGAGAGTTTGTGTGTGTATATATGTGTGTGTGTGTGTGTTTGTGTATATATATGTGGTTTTGTGCATGCACTGTAATGTATTTTTTATTTTTTGGCTTTTTTGTCTCTTCTGCTGTGTTTTTTAGTGTTTTTATGTGTGATGGTCACTCATTGGCCTGATTAGTGTATTGTGTCCAAATTTGGTATCAATTCATCCAGTGGTTTTTGAGTTATGGTCATCCCACAAACGAACATTACATTTTTACGTATATAGATTAGTAATATTACATGTAATATAAAATATATAATTATAATATATTATATCGTATTACATTATAATGTTATTAACATTATATGTAAATACAATATATTACATTATATTATATTATTGGCATATTATCTGTTTTAAACTGGATTATATGGCAGTGTAGATTCAGCCTCAGGATCCTTCCAGACAGGTCCTGTATCCCAGGATCTGATCCCAGGTTTTCTGCTTTAAACTGGATTATATGAGTTCCCACTGCCAGATAATCTGGGATAAACTTAAAACCAGATCCTGGGGTATAGGACCTGTCTGGAAGGGCCCTCAAGTCCCTTCTACACTACCATATAATCCAGATCATCAAAGCAGATAATCCACATTATCTGCTTTGAACTGGATTATATGAGTCTACACTGTCATATAATCCAGTTCAAAGCAGATAGTCTGCCTTGTATATGGCAGTGTAGAAGGGGCCAAAGTGTCACGTTTCAAACGTGTAGTGTGTGAACCACTTTGGGTCCCTTTCAAGGATTGGAGCGAGGGAGGGGGCTCTTCTTTGGAGAGCTCCTTCCGGGTTTCCTTTTCAGGGGCTGATCTCCAGGGAGAGGGTCTCTGGGCTCCCCCCACCCACCCCCAAGGACTCACCTTGCCTTTCAGGTCAAGGATAAAGACGGCCGAGGCGGACATCGCGGCGTTGGAGGCCCTGGCGACTTCCTCCTCTTCCTCTTCCTCCTTCTCTTCGCCTGCCACCTGAGCCAGGTGAGGAGGGAAGGGCGCCGACAGGTGAGCCAGGTGCCTTAAAGGGAAAGTCATCCCTTGCTGGAATGGGCCGACGGAAAGGGAAAGCCAGACAGCCAGCTCTTCTTGTCCCTGGGGTCATGGAGGGCGAGGGAGACCACCAACCAATTTGCCAGGAGTTAGATTTTTTTTTAAAATCTAGTACTTCAGGTACCCAGCAATGCCCAGATTAGGTGATTTATTTATCGTGTCAGGAGCAACCAGACAGTTGTATTTTTTTAACAAAACAAAAAGACAAAACACAAAGTTTGCAAGCTTGGTAGTTGATTAGATGTCCTTTGACCAGTAGCTGGCCACTTGGAGTGCCTCTGGTATTACTATAAGAAGGTCCTCCATTGTGCATGTGGCAGGGCTCAAGTTGCATTGCAGCAGGTGGTCTGTAGTTTGCTCTTCTCCACACTCGCATGGCGTGGATTCCACTTTGTGGCCCCATTTCTTAAGGTTGGCTCTGCATCTCAGGGTGCCAGAGTGCAGTCTGTTCAGCGCCTTCCAAGTTTTCTGTGTGCCCAGGGGGGAGTCTCTCATTTGGTATCACCCATTGATGGAGGTGCTGGGTTTGAGCCTGCCACTTTTGGACTCTCACTTGCTGGGGTGTTCCAGCGAGTGTCTCTGTAGGTCTTAG